GGGGGGGGACGGAGGGAGGGAGGGGAACTTCCCGGGAAAAAAACAAACAGGCATGGAAATAATGAGGGTTTTCCACGCCATAGCTACTAACTGTGGCATCTGCCTGGCAGGTTGAAGGGATGGGAAAGAGGCACCGTGTGCAGGAACAGCCGAGCTGCGGGCCGCGCCGCACCCGAGGAGCCGTCGGGCGCTTCCAGGCAGGTGTGCTCGAACCGGCTTGTACCTCAACGAGTAACGTTTCGAAACGTGGTTCTAGGAAAATCTCGGTTAACAACAGGATTGGAAAATTAGTTTATCCCCAGCTGCGGAGGAACGGCGAGAGCAGGGTGTTCTCAGCAATTTTTCTAGCAAAACATCCCGTGTTGGGAACAATGTGAAATACTGTCGATCTCGGTGTCACTCAAGAGCAGACATCACAGAACAGTAAGCACCACTGGATGCTGCATAAACCACAGAAATTGACATATTTTCATTAGACAGATTTGTTTTGCCTGAGAATGCTTCATGCTTTTCTTTTTTCCTTATGATTAACTCAACGTTTATAAACAACGAGAGCTGTACGGTGGAATACAAGGTGTTTAACTTGAAACATTGTCTCAAGCAAAAGGGACAAGTTCAAGCATTGATGCGAAATTCATCAGTCTTTCTAATGTTTGACAGTGCTAGGAAACGGCAAACAAGGCAGTCCTTGCTTTAAATAGCCTGTGCAGTTTTACTTCATGTAAATAAATAAATTCGTGTTTGACAGAAACTACAAGATGATCAGGAGTGACTAAAGGGCTTGGGCTTATTTTCTTTAGTAAGTGGGAATTTTAAATATGGACAGATGGTTTAGGGTCACACACTGCCAAGAAGCACTTCCCATCGGTGGGAAACCAGAGTGCCGTGGCGGGTAAAACCTGTGGAAACACATCCCCTCTAGTGGCTGAAGTCTGCCAGACACAGAGAGTGCTGCGTGTGCTCCTTCTGTCAAAAGTGGCGCAGAAAATGAGCTGCACGGTTCTGAAAATGCATGGCAGGTACATGTATGCCCTCGGTTGCAACTTGCCTTATCTGCCTTATGTATTTCTTCATTTATTCTTGGTTAATAGCAGTTGGATGGCACTTTTTTATTTCAGTTTCTACATAAACTCCAAAGATGTTCTAGAAAGACCACCTTCTGGATGATCTACACCAAGTGTCTGTTCTGAAAGATGCAGAGAATTCTGTCAGTCATTTTTGCATTGTTGTTTTTTTTTGTTTGTCTTTTTAAGAGTCTGTTTAATAAGTCTTTTCCAGACACAGACTGTATATGATGTGAGTCTGGAGAAAATAAAACACCAGACAAGCACAAAATACACATACAGAAGAGGCGAGATTTTAAAACTTGTGACAAACTAATGAAGAAGCAGCATAGCTGACACCATCAGGGATGAAGGGCATTAAGTGATATCTAAAGAGAGAACCTTTTGAGATAATGCAGAGAAAATTATAGCAGATGTTGAACAATATGCAAGTTGGGAAAAATAGTGAAAGATGAGTTTGGCCAAAAGTAATGAGAAAGAAAGAAAGAAGGAAAGAAAGAAAGAAAGAAGGAAAGAAAGAAAGAAAGAAGGAAAGAAAGAAAGAAGAAAGAAAGAAAGAAAGAAAGAAAGAAAGAAAGAAAGAAAGAAAGAAAGAAAGAAAGAAAGAAAGAAAGAAAGAAAGAAAGAAAGAAAGAAAGAAAGAAAGAAAGAAAGAAAGAAAGAAAGAAAGAAAGAAAGAAAGAAAGAAAGAAAGAAAGAAAGAAAGAAAGAAAGAAAGAAAGAAAGAAAGAAAGAAAGAAAGAAAGAAAGAAAGAAAGAAAGAAAGAAAGAAAGAAAGAAAGAAAGAAAGAAAGAAAGAAAGAAAGAAAGAAAGAAAGAAAGAAAGAAAGAAAGAAAGAAAGAAAGAAAGACATTGTCTACACTGGTAAATATAATCACAATACCCCAAAGATTTGAAGGTATTTTTCTTACTTAGCTCATCTTCCACAAATATCTGACACAAGGCATGGTGAAAGAAAAAAAGCCTTACATTTTCCTGTACCTTACATTTAAAACTTTAAATACCAGAAATCAAATTATGAAGACTAATATTACCAACTGGTTTCACAGATACGAGGTCAGAAAGCCCATTCTATATTGATGTTCAAAAGAAAAGGATCAATCGTTGCAACTGACATAAGGCATTTTCTCTGATTAACAACTTCAACAGCTTTATGAGATTAACTCCCACACAGTTTCTTTCCATTTATCAGAATCAACACAAACATTGTATATTTTTATTCATTTCCATCAGTACACAGCAGGATGTATATATTACATAGCTCATTCACCATTTGTTGGTATGCATTTAAGACAATGTATATTATCTTGAAATTGTTTAATTGTCAGGTGTGGATTTTGGAGAATTGTCAATAAGATTTTTATCAGGTGTTTCATAATGATACCAAGGTCCATCTCCCCTGTGTCTCATGAGTCTTCGAGCTTCCAGCTCCAACAGCCTAAAACAAAAAAGCAAGCCACACTCAACGTAAAGTTTATTAGTTTGACCACACATATATAAATGTTTAATATCACATATTCATGACACCAGCAATGAGTTTGGCATCTATTGTTTATGAATACTACTGAAACACAGATAAGACCAAAAAGTGAAGGGTTCAACTAAAACAGGAGTTATTACATCCTACTATGTAACTTTTTTTCAGCAAGTCACCTCACAAAAGAGTAATAAAAATACTTGCAGGGAGTTCTATCACAAGTTCTTGATTAGCAAGGGGCAGACAGTTTTTATGCAGCTTTCAACTAAAAATAAACAGGAGCAAGAAAAACAAAAGTATGTGTTATGGTAGTAGGAGTTATGCTGTCTTGATCCCAATAGTAACAGTTTGTGGAAGTCACGACTTTCTATTACCATCACAATTTACTCTGAGTAAGTGTGGAATAAACTCAATGCAATGTCGTTGCTGCCCACAACATTTTCAACAGTGACAAGGAACATGACCAGTCCTGTAAACTGTCATTTAGCTACTCAATTAAGCTATGAACATCAGCAGAGGGGAAAAAGAGCTGTCCATTTGACTCAGGAAGACTCAGTCACACCTTTATAGATATGAACTGTTTTGAAGAGATACTCAAGTTTTCCGAGTCTGCCCTTGGACTGTTCCAGTTCTGGTAACCTTAATACCACAAGGCCAGGACTAGAGGTGCCATTAACTTCCACTCTGGCACCAGCCAGTACAGAAGCACTCAGGTCAAGTGATACACAAATAAGCACATTATGTCAGAAGCCAACTCAGGATGTTAACCAAAAGAAAAGCATCACCTACAGTATGTACCAGCACTTAAAAACACTCCAGCTATTCAACATACCTCATTTCAGTTTTCTTGGCTTCAATATCAAGCATAGCCATCTCTTTCTCATAGTTCTTTTCAGGGGAGTCAAGGAGGTAACGAGCTATCCAGCGACTTATAGGGTGCTAGAAAATTTAAAAGATTATTCATGCAATTTCCAAGTAGAAATGTCATGATAACCAAATAATATTGCATGTTCCCAGTCCTGAAAATATGTCCTCAAGACTACAAGTGCTGCCATTCAAACTGTATTAGTTAAGTTAAACACATGCTCAACTAATTGTAAGATCAGAACCATAAAAAACTGTATTTCTTTTGCCATTTTTAATGCCAAAAGAACCTGCAGATGACTATTCTGTAGCAAAATTAAATGTTAGTGGAACGTTATTGTATTTCTGTCGAAGGCAAGTTCCTTGAACTGCCACTGTAATCACAGAAATGGACTCCAAACCTCTTTCTGTAATCAGGAACATTTTAAAGTTTTGCTTCCACTTAAAGGTAATTTCACTAGGAACAAAAGTCTAAAAGAGTTGAAGCAGTCATGATAGTATTGCTGAGTTCAATTAGTTCCTATCAAAAACAAAAAAGTGTTTGCAGGAAGAAGCCAGGGATTAATTTTAAGAAAATACCATGTAATGAGAAAAGTATGACCCTGAGTTTCTCACTATAAAAATCACCAATTCTAGATATAAAAGCATGTGTGATGATGGACTTTGAAACAACACTAGCAAACGATACAAAAGAAAGTAATTTAACTTTAAACTCCAGTGTCTTCAGATGTTGCAGTTCCAGAGCAAGACACAAAGAGAAAAACTGTATGCTAAGAATAGAGAGAACAGAAGATTGTTCTTAATACCTAGGAATATTATAAATGAATTATTGGCATGTAGCTTCAGCAGTTTACATGCAAGAAGTTACAGATCACTTATGTCACACGTGCCATCTACTTGTATCAATAAACAGATTTCCTGAAGCAAGATGTATGTTCTACAAAGCTGAAAACCAGCAAGTTCACAAAAATCATAATTGCATAATTCAAGTTCTACTACACTGATACCCAATGGCAGCGATATGACCACCCTCATTATCATACTCCACATATTTTAATCCCAAAAGTATCAGAGGAAAACTGTCCACAGCATGCCACCCTTTTATATGTCACACTCACCTTGTAGTATTCCCAGTACTCCGGAATATAACCTTCAGGAATCTCTGCAAGTTCAGCTTCACCTGACAAGGAAAGGAGTGGAAGGACATTTAACTCAAGCGATTTTTTAAAGTATTTTAGATTCTGCCTTTCACATGAGGAAAAGAATTATTTCACATGGTGAGTACTTAGTCCCTCAATCTGTGCTCCATTCAGAAAAACAGGGTTTGTAATGTTTCCAGAGACTTCACACTGCATGTGCCCAGCTCACAGACTTCAAGCCAATTACTACAGTAATAGTAATTCTATATTATTACAAAATAGTAACAATTGCCTGTTACCAAGCAGAATTTTGGAATTTTTTTTGCCAGACGAAAAGCAAGAGCTGCTGTGTATGGCTGCTCCTTCTTAAAGGAGTATGTAAAACAAGACCACACAGACTCCTCATCTCAGTGCAAACTGATCAATAAATCTCACTCATGTTTGAAAGAATGTCAAAGGATGGACTTTTTCCATTTTTAAAAATATGGGAAGTTTTTTTTTAAAAAAAACAACAACAACTATGGAAAAAAAAATACTGGGAACATCTTCTATGTACTTAAACAATATTACCACAGGCCTATTTCACACTCTTCCAAAGAGCTACCCTTAAAATATTTTTTTAATATAAATTTTTTTTTTTTTCCTATCCAGCATGCTTAGTTTCTATTTAATAATTTTGATTGAGCAGTTAGTATAGTCCTGACAGAACACTCACCAATGAAGATGTTGACATACGTTATGAATAGTGCCACTGGTATTCCCGTCAGAAAAACATAGAACCTCTGCATAAGGGAATAAAAAAAAACAGCATGGGAAACTCAGGAAGATGCCTGACAAAACGAGTTTAGTCTGAAAACGATGTAATAGCCAACAGTTCTTAGATTTACACTCATAGGTTAGATAGGGATGTCGTATGTAAAGACATATTGTTGCTTTAAATTAATTAATAAACTAGTATACAGAACAGGGATGCTGTGTCAGTCCATGGGTCTATTTAGTTCAGCTTTCAATGCCTCAGAGGGGTCAGTCTCTGCAGAAGCAGGCAGTAATGCTTTCCCTCAGCACTGCCTCAGCACCTTGTCATGACTGGCTTCAGCATTCAACTGTCATGAGGCACCAACACCAATGCAATATAATCCATCATAAATTTACAACCACTGCCGGCTGCGGTAACTGCAGAAGACAGATAAAGGAAGGCTGGTCACACAAAGGGAGTTGCATCAGGTTGGCTGTTACCTGTTAGAATAGGCTTTAGCTGAAACCTAGCTTTTTAGGAGTCAAACTCAGGTCAGGCTTCCTAAGTCTGAATCCTTGGTGTTAGTGGTTTGGGTAACTGAAGGCAAACCCTACAGAAAAGTAACATAATACATTTTTAAAAGGAGGATGGAGTGGAAAGCATTTGTTGGTTATGCACACATGTACCACAGCATTAATTTAAGTACCCATCACAATCTTTGCCATTCACCCGATCTTGTATCTTTTTATTTCATCTGGCCCTGATTTTACAACATGTGACAAAAAGTTCTTTAGGAGGGCTGGAAATTCTTACTTATGTGAATAGTGCCAACCACACTTTAGATGCTCTCACATAAACAATGGATACATTTCTATTTCAGACACTCTCACATCATTTGCAAGGGATGTGTTACACAGAATGCAATCTACTTCTTTTTAACTCACCAACAAGTTAAGAAATCGAGTATCATAAAAACTTGTTGCCTTGATAATAAACATTCTCTTCCCGTGGCCGCTGCTGTGTCGTACAGGAGCTGAAAATGGAACCAAAGCATGATGGACTTTTCCCTTTGGTGGCTGTGCCAGGATAAGGTCAACAACACGTGTGGGGGAGAAATAAAAAAGCAGCATCCAGCAGCAACTGAGCAGTTATGGGCTGGTTTCGGTTCCCAAAAGCCTGCCTGAACTAACTAGCTGCTTTAGTAGAATCAACCTTTTCCGCCTGACTTGAGACACGTATCTGCTTCTACCGGGAAGTTCCAACAGATAAGGAACTGAATGTCGCTACACAGCAAACACATTCGCGTGCATCAGCCGGGCCCTCTGGCTGCCGCCTGCTTCTCCCCGCGCTGTGCCCCCGCAACGCGAACCTCACGGGGAACGGACATACACGCTGCGTTCCAGGGGTTTCCCTGCACCTCGGAAGGGTTTTCCTGCAGCAGCTCCTGCCGCAGCCCCAGGGCCGGGGAGCCCACC